CAGAGTGGAGTGATGGCATTACAATACCTGTAACATGTAAGTTGGACATCTGTTATCCATATGAAAAATGTATGTTTTGAACTGTCTAAATATGCAGAGAACACACAAAACAACACACTAGTGTTTCAGTCTAAGAGAGGTTCTTAAAACCACTTGTCATGTCTTGCCTTATTACTTCCTCTCAGTGTCACTGCTGATACTTTACAATCAGGGCAAAATTCATAATGAAGAAATGTCTTTGGTCACAGTGAAACATCCAGGAGAGCAAGGAATGTCAGTGTATGCCTTGTGCTTTTCCACTACAAATTAAATGCAGCAAAAACACTGAATCTCTGTCAACTGCTTTACCGCACCAACAGAGCAAAAGAACGTTTAACTGAAGGAATCCACATGTTCTACTGATATGACTTTTTAGTAACAAACTCTTGTATTAACGTAGTTTTGCTTCAGGCAGCTACACATATGTACCACTGCATTGTGATGCAGGTAGTTCAGGTGTTTTTGTTTTTGTTTTTTTTGCACATACTACTGCTGATATAGTTGTTTTTAATTTGTTTTTATTTTTTAAATAGTCTGGTCTCATCAGCAAAGCATGCTGACTCTTTACTGAGCACCAGACTTTAGTACATTGAAGACTGATCTGCTACATTTGAAATTCAGTTACATTTTTATTATTAAGATATGTTCCACTGATGAACTTTATTGATGTAAATAAGTTTATTGACGTAAATAAGTAAAACATAATAAAAGAAATGTTGACGGGCATCAGTGTCACAATAGCTTCTTGACATTATGGCTACGAGTTGTCAAATTCGGAAATGATAATGTCCAACACAGTGCTTCTGTTTCGTTTAGAGTTTGTTAATGTAAGAATCTGGACTCAGCTGCCATATCTTAAAATAGACCCTAAGGCTTGAGTTCAGGTCTGGTTTCTATCAATGTGTAGATGAGTGAAGAACCTCCCATGTGGAACTCTTATTTTCTATGTGGACCAGTTTAATGTATAATTTGTAATGTGATTTATGGATGATTAAAAAGAATACCTAGTTATAAAAGTATGACAAAAATATTGACTCTTGTGCTGCACATCTGTTATTAAAACAGTTTGTCACATGCTACTTTATGGTAGCAGACAAATTAATTTGTGGAAGTCAAGTCAGTGTGCATGAAAAGGCTGGATATAAGTTGGGTGTAATCAGAATACATCTGTAGTAACTGTCTGTGTTACAAATCTGGTCAGGGTTAGAAGTCTTTTGTACAATTTTGTCCAAAAAAACCCAACATTTTTTCTGTCCTAATCATGTATTGGTGTTTTTCACTGTCAACTGAACAGCATATAAACCCCAGGCCTCACTGACAGCAGACAGTAGAATCATACCAGCAGGGGGCAGTGTGACACTGACCTGCTCTGTGGACTATGAATCAGCGTGGAAGTTCTTCTGGTTCAGACGTACCTCATCATCCTCTACACTTAAGAGAATAAAAGATGATGCTCTATCCCACACCATCAGTATTTCAGAAGGAGGAATCTATCACTGCAGAGGAGGAAGAGGAGACCCAGTTTTCTATACAAAGGACAGTAACACCATCACAATTGACAAAGGAGGTGAGTGCATTCATGACTAACATTACAATGATACCTGATAATCACAGCGCTTTTGCTTATTTCATATTCTTTCTTTTTTTTCACTTTGTGTATATGTGTAACAACAGTTTCCAACAAAGCTGTCGTCACACGGCATCCCAACTGGCGTCAGATATTCAGAGGGGAAAAGATAACTCTGAGATGTGAGATCCAAGATGGTGGAAACATTCAGTGGAAGTATGAATGGAGAACTACCAGTTCAGAAAAAAAACCAGAATACACTGAACACTGGGTTATCAGTGCTTCTGAGTCCAGTGATGGAGATTACTGGTGCAGAGGTAAACCGAAAAGTGACTCGTTTTCCTCAACAGAGTGGAGTGATGCCATTACAATACCTGTAACATGTAAGTCTTCTTCATTCACAGCATTTTATTCATTTCGTTTGAGTAAAATTTTTAGATTCTCACAAAGTAAATAAGTGTAGTCACATTTTCAAACGAACTCATTTGATGATCGCAGTGATGAGTTTTTTGTGGCCATGGTACAGTTATAGTTCCACCATTAAAGGTTCATGATATTTGTTATTTCCAGTATTCCATCAATTCATTTAATGTGGCCTTAATCATGAGGCCAATTATTAATTTTTTGTTTTTATTTTGAACTTAAAAGTTCTTAGTATTTAGATATATTGAGATTTGAGATGCTAAACATTTAGATGAACTTAAAGTTTGTAATATACTGTATATTGTTTATGAAGGCAACATTTTTGGAGAAATTGTACTTGAAGTTCAGAGACTACACATGATACATGTTTTATTCTGTAATCCTTCATTCCACCAGATAAACCCAAAGCTGTCCTCACTGTGTCTCCATCATGGCTGAGTCCTGGAGCCTCAGTAACTCTGAGCTGTCAGGTTGAACATCCGTCTGCAGGATGGAGGTTCTACTGGTATAAGGCTGTTCCTGGTCTATCAGACAACTCCTACAGTGCTGAGCTGCTGCCTGGTAGCAGCAACGGGACTGAAGAAGATTCCTACATTGTTGATGGACAGACACAGGCAGCAGGATATGCATGTAGAGCTGGAAGAGGAGACCCAGTGTATTACACTGATGACAGTGGACTTCAGTTTGTCTGGTCTGGAGGTCAGTTTGTTTTTGTTGTTTCAAGAAGCAGATGTTATGTCATCAGCTTATTTCATCATTTTCTTTGTCTGTGACCAACATTCAGTATCTTAAAGGCTCATATCCATGTTGACAAATGTTAAATGTTAAAATGGTCCCTTCATGCAAGACAATAAATGGCATTTACCCTTTTTAATTTGACAGTGATAGAGATGTAAGATACTAAAACCTCTTCTTTGCAATTAATATGTCATTTTACTTTGAATACTTCAATACTTTATTGCATCATGCTGTTTATACAAAATATTTAATCTTATGCAACTGACAGGATATGTAGAGTTATGTCCCTTATTGGTCAGTTAGACGTGTGGACAGAGAGTCCAATTCAGGGAATTAGCAGCAGTAGCAGACAGGTTGGTGAATGAGGTAAATAAAGAGCTGAGAGAACTGTCATGAATACATTAAAAACAAACACTGAGATAATGAAATACTGAAGAATCTGAACTTAGACTGATGTTGTAATTGAATCATATTTCATTCGGACTGGATCATCAGGGCTTGTTAATGCTTGCTTAATGTACACTATATGATTGAGACATGCAGCTGTGGTTAGACCGACATAAGCCCAGTGCCGTTATGTAACAACCACATCTCGCACATGTTGCAGCATGTCTGACCCAGAGTTTGAACTGTCAGGTCAAAGGTTTTACAAATTCATGCTGCCCTTCTTGTGGGACAGTGAAGCTCTTGAAGGTGTTTCATGTGGTGAAGCTCCATCATGGTTACAATCCTACATACAATGAATATTGAACTATATCTTGACTTTTAAAAACATTATAATGCAAATCAAGTTGGACAGAAAAATGACAAAATTCAATATTTTCCCCAAATTGTTCAGCCCTAGTTTGCACTGATCTTCAGCAGTACAAAGGAAAGACAAAGGACAAAGGAATTTTCCCACTGTAGTAGTTTTTACAATGAATTTGTCTGTACTCTGTTTGACTTCTCATCTTTTCATCTTGTCATGATTTTTTTTCCAGATTCTAATTCCGTAGCGTCTCTCACAGTGA